GCTCTTTCAATTTTGATGATAGGGTGTAGATTTTAGATCTTTCCTTGCTTCTCATAGGGCATTTATTGGTATATATTCTCCTCTAGACACTGCTTTAAATATGTTTCACAGATCTGGTATGTTGTGTCTTCGTTCTCGTTGGTTTTGAAGAAAATCTTGATTTCTGCCTTCATTTCATTGTTTTTTCAGTCAACATTCAAGAGCCAGTTCAGTTTCCATGAAGGTGTGCAGTTCTGAGTGAGTTTCTGAATACTGAGTTCTAATTGATTGCACTGTGGTCTGAGAGACTATTTGCTATGACTTCCCTTCTTTTGCATTTGCTGAGGAGTGATTTACTTCCAATTACGTGGTCAATTTTAGAGTACGTGTGATGTGGTGCTGAGAAGAATGTATATTCTGTGGATTTGCAGGGGAGAGTTCTGTAAATGTCTATTAGTTTTGCTTGGTCCAGGTCTGAGTTCAAGTCCTGGATATCCTTGTTAATTTTCTGTCTCGTTAATCCGTGTAATATTGACAGTGGAGTGTTAAAGTTCTCCCACTATTATTGTGTGGGAGTCTAAGTCTCTGTGTAAGTCATTAAGAACTTGCTTTATGTATCTGAATGCTCCTGTATTGTGTGCATATATATTTAGGATCGTTAGCTCTTCTTGTTGCATTGATCCTTTTACCATTATGTAATGTCCTTCTTTGTCTCTTTTGATCTTTGTTGGTTTAAAGTCTGTTTTATCAGAGACTAGGATTGCAATTCCTGCTTTTTTTTTTACTCTCTTTTTTTTTAACTCTTCATTTGCTTGGTAAATCTTCCTCCATCCCTTTATGTTGAGCCTTTATGTATCTTTGCATGTGAGGTGGGTTTCCTGGATACAGCACACTGATGGGTTTTGGTTTTTATGCAATTTGCCAGTCTGTGTCTTTTGATTGGGACATTTAGCCCATTTACATTTAGGGTTAATATTGTTATGTGTGAATTTGATCCTGCCATTTTGATGCTAGTTGGTTGTTTTGCCTGTTAGTTGATGCAGTTTCTTCATTGTGTCGATGCTCTTTACCATTTGGTAAGTTTTTGGAGTGGCTGTTACTGGTTGTTCCTTTCTATGTTTAATGCTTCTTTCAGGAACTATTGTAAAGCAGGCCTGGTGGCGATGAAATCTCTGCCTAATTTCTTGTTCGTACAGGATTTTATTTCTCCTTTGCTTATGAAGCTTAGTTTGGCTGGATATGAAATTCTGTGTTTGAAGTTCCTTTTTTTTTTTTTTTTTCCCATTTATTTTATTGCATTTTAGGTTTTGGGGTACATGTGAAGAACATGCAAAATTGTTGCATAGGAACACACGTGGCAGTGTGATTTGCTGCCTTCCTCCCCATCACC